TTTATTCACCGCTTCAAACCAAGGTAAAAAACTTGCAAATACACTAACTGCATTAAGTGCATGTTCTACAAATGCTCCACCTCCACTAATATCTTGACCATTTTCTGACATTTTAGAATTTTTATTAACAGTAAATGCTTAAAAAAAAAAAAAAATTTAAATTTAAAGTTTGAATATCAAAAAAAAAAATTTTTTTTTTTGTTTTTTTTTAAAGATATTAGCGAACCGGTGAGCAAAATGCGTACATTTTGCTTTTTAGTCCGATAGGCCATTTTGAGTTACATACGTACAGTATTCTTAAAACTGTAATTGTCATAATGCGTTTTATATATATAATAAAGTGTAATAGTAAGATATGTATTGTACGTATTACAATTTGATTTGCTGATATTGTATGAGATTTTGTGTTTATTAATTCCGAATTAGGCCCTTTGTCCCCAACATTATTTGGTTGGCTAAATGAATTCCTCTTCGGAAGAAATGTCAAACAAAGTAATTACGATTGGTATTGGGTAAGTTATTTTTTATGAAAGAAGAATTGATTATTTAATAAATATATCTTAATTAATTAATTATACGTAATAGTGGAGCTTCATGTTCTGGTAAAACGGTATGTATTTAAAAAGTACATCTAAATCTCAAAAGAAAAAACTAAGATAACTACTCGAGTTATTTTTATTATATTCTACAAAGACTTTGGCTAAATGGCTTTTAAAAATTTTACCGAATTGTACATTATTTTATCAAGATGATTTTTTTAAGGTATTTCTTTTCTTTTTTTTTGAACCCAACTTTGAAATTTCTACTTTGTTTATTGTATTTCATTTATTTTTTATTTACAATAATAAACAGCTCGAAAAAGACCTTCCCATTGATCCAGCAACAAAATATTTAAATTGGGATTGTCCTGAAGCAATAAACTTTTCATTATTCTTGTCTACTTTAAAAAATCTTCATCAAGTCGGCTCATTACCAACATCATTCAAATCTAATGAAGTTTATAATGTTTATAAAGACGTTGAATCGAGTGGATTAGATGAACTAGTTGAACGATTATCCTTAAAAATTAATAAGGTATTAAGTGAATCTGTAGGATGTGATGATAAAAATAATGAATGGTATTTCATATTGGTAGATGGATTTTTACTATACTATGATCCTGAAGTTATAAAAGAATTAGATGTTAAATTGTTTACCAAGGCGGATCGTGAAATTTTAAAGAAACGAAGAGAAGAACGAGTTCGGTATATTACGGTTGAAGGTATTTTTTTTCTCTAATTTTTTTCTAATATATATTTAAACTCTAATCTCACAATATTGACTTAAATCTGTTTTTTTTTTTTTAAATAAGGATATTTTGAAGACCCTCCAAATTATTTTGATAAAATAGTTTGGCCAAATTATATTCAATACCATAAACATCTATTACTTAAAGAACAATCGTCAGGTTTAATAGATGGTGAAAAAAATGGATGGATGGCTATTGAAGATTTTGTGGTTTTAGATTCAAATCATGATGAAACTTTTGGTGGGAATCTTGAGAAAGCTGTCGATAAT